TGTCTATTATGCAAGTATTCTTGTTCAACATTTCTCTTGTTAGAGTAATGTCATGGGCTTGTCTCATGTGATTCCTAGGGGCACCAGATTGAAGATGGCATGTCAAACGCCTCGTCAGCTTGGTCGACGTCATACCTATGTACTTACATTGAAGGTTACATCCTTCGTGGGGGCAAGTGTACATGTATACAACGCTTGACTGCTGTAGAGGGTTCTCCGTCGGCTTCGGGCTGTTTTTGATAAGGAGTTCGGAAGTCTTCTTGGTTTTGTAGAATATTATCAGGTTTATGTTTTGGTTAGGAGTAGTGCTTTTTACTCCTTTACGGATTATTTCTTTCATTATTCTTTCCTCTTTTATATGTTCACTGTGCATGGTTGATTTGTAATATAATTTTATTGGGGGTGTTGTGGTTTCTGTTCTAGGTACCTAGAACACCTGTTCTAGGCTCCGTTCTATAAAATCTCCGATTTTATATCTACATTTGAGTGAGGTGGAAGGGGTGATGTGGCATTAACACAGGACAGAACAAGATGTGGCATTAATAGGGTATTAATTTCATCAACACAAGACAGAACAAGAGTATTAATAGGGTATTAACTTCATCAACACAAGACAGAACACGAAACAATGGATATTGAATAGAAGTGTTTGTAGAAAGCCTATTGGTCCATATTTCTTGATGCTTCTATATTGGAGCGGAGTCTTGAGGTGGGTAGAATATAGTTGTGCAATAATTGGCTGTTGATTGCTGGTGTTGACTTCTTGATGTGTAGTGCCTCGCAAACGTCAAGCCGCCTGCTATCGCTGTATCTATCGATGATTTCTGTGTTGTTTACTAGGATTTCTCTGACGATGGTTTGGTTGTGGGAAGAGATTACAGACATACAAGCATAATATATATTATGCTTGTATGTCTGCTGTATCAGATGGGCCATTGGGCTACATCGGATGTGCCAATTGGGTGCATCTGATGGGCCAATGGGCCGTCTGCGTTGTCCAAGTATTGTACCTCACCTTACTTCACCACTCCTTCCTGCCTATTTATACCCATCACTCGATCTGTAAAATGACCTTCTGAAGATGTATTTAATATACGAAAGTACTTAAAGAAATTTCCTGTCTCATTTTTCCTCCGTGGTCTGACATTGTCACATTCTTAATCACGTGTTTATTTTCGTGATATACACACACACACATATATATATATATATATATATATATATATATATATATATATATATATATATATATATATATATATATATATATATATATATATATATATATATATATATATATATATATATATATATATATATATATATATATATATATATATATATAATGTCGTACCTAGTAGCCAGAACGCACTTCTCTGCCTACTATGCAAGGCCCGATTTGCCTAATAAGCCAAGTTTTCATGAATTAATTATTTTTCGACTTCCTAACCTACCTAACCTAACCTAACCTAACTTTTTCGGCTACCAAACCTAACCTAACCAATAAAGATAGGTTAGGTTAGGTTAGGTAGGGTTGGTTAGGTTCGGTCATATATCTACGTTAATTTTAACTCCAATAAAAAAAATTTGACCTCATACGTAATGAAATGGGTAGCTTTATCATTTCATAAGAATAATGAAATGGGTAGCTTTATCATTTCATAAGAAAAAATTAGAGAAAATATATTAATTCAGGAAAACTTGGCTTATTAGGCAAATCGGGCCTTGCATAGTAGGCCGAGTACGACGTTCTGGCTACTAGGTACAACATATTTATATATATATATATATATATATATATATATATATATATATATATATATATATATATACATATATATGTATATATATATATATATATATATATATATATATATATATATATATATTACACATGAGAGTATGTGCAGGGACCTAATATCTAACATATTCAGAGAGTGCTGTCTGGGGCTAGAGTTGGAAATTGTCCTAATAGCAGCTTTATGTTGAGTAATTAGAGGACGTAAATGATTTTGGGTAGTAGAACCCCAAGCACAAATACCATAGTTAAGATAAGGATAGATGAGAGAGTAATAGAGTGTCACCAGGGCAGGGCGGGGTACATAATATCTGATCTTAGAAAGAATGCCAACAGTTTTTGAAACTTTTTTAGATATATTTAGAATGTGTCCCTGGAAATTCAGCTTGCGAGCAATGAGAACTCCATGGAATTTGCCATCTACTTTGTTACAAATTTGGGTATTTTTAATCCTGAGATTTATTTGATTTGAGGATTTATTACCAAACAAAATATTGAAAGTTTTGCCAATGTTAAGGGTGAGTTTGTTGGCAGTTAGCCAAAGATGGACTTTATTTAGCTCAGTATTCACTGTGACATTTAGAGCAAGGGGGTCAGGACTAGAGTAAATGAAGGTTGTGTCGTCAGCAAATAGAATTGGTTTGAGGTGTTGGGAGGCATTTGGAAGGTCATTAATGTAGATGAGAAAGAGGTGAGGGCCAAGTATGCTGCCCTGGGAAACACCAATGTTGATGGGTAGGGTGGGAGAAATTGAATTATTCGCAGAAACATACTGGAGCCTGTCAGTAAGATAAGATTTGAGGTATTGCAGGGAGTGTCCTCTAACTCCATAATGATGTAATTTAAGAAGAAGGTTTTGGTGGTTGACAGTGTCAAAAGCCTTACGCAGGTCCACAAATAACCCAACAGGGAACTCATTTTTATCAAGAGCTGCATGTATCAAGTTAATCATACTAATAAGTGCATCGTTAGTGCTTTTATGGGGTCTGAAGCTATTTTGACAAGAGCTAAGTATATTGTGTTTGGCTATATAAGAGTAAAGCTGCTTGTAGATTAGTTTTTCAAATATTTTTGACAAGTTTGGCAGGATTGATATAGGTCTGTAGTTGTTAACATCTGTGAGATCACCACATTTGTGGACAGGCGTTACTCTCGCTTTTTTTAGAATATCTGGAAAGGTTTGGAGTTCAAGTGACTTGTTGAAGAGCAATGCAATAGCAGGAGCAAAAGATCTGGAGGCTTTTTTGTAAAATAAAGTTGGTATCTCCTCAAGGGCACTAGACTTGGTTTTAAGGGAAAGGATTATCTCATTAACGTCAGTGGAATTTGCAGGTGTTAGGTACAGAGACTGTGGATAGTTACCTGTAAGAAAGTCCTGAACATCAGTACTGGAAGATGGAATATCATTTGCAAGGGATGACCCAATGGAAGAGAAGAACCTATTGAACTCAATAGCAGTATCAGAGGTTGTAAGCCGATGGTCGGTAAAACTAAGTCAAGTGCCCTTGATGAGATACCATCATTAATTTACAAAAAAGTCTCTAGATTTCTAGGTCCTGCCATTGCATTGCTCTTCAACAAATCACTTGAACTCCAAACCTTTCCAGATATTCTAAAAAAAAGCGGGAATAACCCCAGTCCATAAATGTCGTGATCTCACTGATGTCAACAATTACAGACCTATATAAATTCTGCCAACCTTGTAAAAAATACTTGAAAAGCTAATATACTAGCAACTTTACTCTTATCTAGCCAAGCACAATATACTTAGCTCTTGCCAATATGACTTCAGACCCAATAATAGCACTGACGATGCTTTTATTAGTATGATTAACTTGATACAAATAGCTCTTGATAAAAATGAGTTCCCTGTTGTGATATTTGTTGACCTATGAAAGGCTTTTGACACTGTCAACCACCAAAACCTTCTTAAATTACAACATTATGGAGTCAGAGGTCACTCCCTGCAGTACCTTCAGTCTTATCTTACTGACAGGCTCCAGTATGTTTCTGTGAATAATTCAATTTCTCCCACCCTACCCATCAATATTGGTGTTCCTCAGGGCTGCATACTTGGCCCTCTCCTCTTTCTCATCTACATTAATGACCTTCTAAATGCCTCCCAACACCTCAAACCAATTCTATTTGCTGACGACACGACCTTCATTTACTCCAGTCCTGACCCCCTTGCTCTAAATGCCACAGTAAATACTGAGCTAAATAAAGTCCATCTTTGGCTAACTGCCAACAAACTCACCCTTAACATTGACAAAACTTTCTATATTTTGTTTGGTAATAAATCCTCAAATTAAATTATTCTAAGAATAAACAATATCCAAATTTCTAAGAAAGTTGATGGTAAATTCCTTGGTGTCCTCATCGATAACAAGTTGAATTTCCAGGGACACATTCTAAATATAGCAAACAAAAGTTTCTAAAACTGTTGGCATTCTTTCTAAGATCAGATATTATGTACCTCGCCCTGCCCTGGTGACTCTCTATTACTCCAGCACTCGGTACCCCTACTCAATTCTTTGAATATGTTAGATATTAAGTCACTGCACATCCTCTCATGTGTATTATATATATATATATATATATATATATATATATATATATATATATATATATATATATATATATATATATATATATATATATATATATATATATATATATATATATATATAAAACGGTGAACTGTAATGTCAATCCTGACCTTAAAAGCTTCATTGAAGGTTGTAACAGAACCCATGGGCACCACACCAGAAACAAATACAGTACCTATTTGATATCCCAAGAGTACGACTTAATCAAACTAGAAATGCTCTACAAATCAAAGGACCCAGAATGTGGAATGACCTTCCCAATCATGTCAAAGACTGTAACTCTCTCAACCAGTGTTAAGATGAAAACTAAAAAGTACCTAATAAACTCCATGTAACCTATCTTACCCCTATAATGTCAATCCCATGTCATATTATTGTAATCAATGCTGTTTGTTGACCAACTTGTATAATTGCTAATCTCTGCCTTGTTCCCCCCTTTTTTATTTTTTATTTTTTTCAACACAATTTATACTTTAAGCTCAATTACTATTAAGTTTTAGTCTAAGTGTTTTTTCCCCCACACCTTGCCCGAAACGTTGTGTGTACTAGTAGGTTTAGGTGTTGTATGTACTATCTCTATATTTATATCCAACATGTATGTAACTCAATGTATGTACCTTTACCTGAATAAAAATCTAAAAAATCTAAATCTAAATCTAAAAAATTAGTACATTAGATTAGAGACGTTGGGAATGTTGAGAGGACGGACGGGACAGTACACTGGGTCAATACACAGGGCCGCAGTACACTGGGTCACAATACACAGGGCCGCAGTACACTGGGTCACAATACACAGGGCCGCAGCACACAGGGCCGCAGTACACAGGGCCGCAGTACACAGGGCCGCAGCACACAGGGCCGCAGCACACAGGGCCGCAGCACACAGGGCCGCAGTACACTGGGTCACAGTACACAGGGCCGCAGCACACAGGGCCGCAGCACACAGGGCCGCAGCACACAGGGCCGCAGCACACAGGGCCGCAGCACACAGGGCCGCAGCACACAGGGCCGCAGCAGACAGGGCCGCAGCAGACTGGGTCACAATACACAGGGCCGCATTACACAGGGCCGCAGTACCGCACAGGGCCGCAGTACACAGGGCCGCAGCACACAGGGCCGCAGCACACAGGGCCGCAGTACACAGGGCCGCAGTACACAGGGCCGCAGCACACAGGGCCGCAGCACACAGGGCCGCAGTACACAGGGCCGCAGTACACAGGGCCGCAGCACACAGGGCCGCAGCACACAGGGCCGCAGTACACAGGGCCGCAGTACACAGGGCCGCAGCACACAGGGCCGCAGTACACAGGGCCGCAGCACACAGGGCCGCAGCACACAGGGCCGCAGCACACAGGGCCGCAGCACACAGGGCCGCAGTACACAGGGCCGCAGTACACAGGGCCGCAGTACACAGGGCCGCAGCACACAGGGCCGCAGCACACAGGGCCGCAGTACACAGGGCCGCAGCACACAGGGCCGCAGTACACAGGGCCGCAGTACACAGGGCCGCAGTACACAGGGCCGCAGCACACAGGGCCGCAGCACACAGGGCCGCAGCACACAGGGCCGCAGCACACAGGGCCGCAGTACACTGGGTCACAGTACACAGGGCCGCAGCACACAGGGCCGCAGTACACTGGGTCACAATACACAGGGCCGCAGCACACAGGGCCGCAGCACACAGGGCCGCAGCACACAGGGCCGCAGCACACAGGGCCGCAGCACACAGGGCCGCAGCACACTGGGTCACAATACACAGGGCCGCAGCACACAGAGCCGCAGCACACAGGGCCGCAGTACACAGGGCCGCAGCACACAGGGCCGCAGCACACAGGGCCGCAGCACACAGGGCCGCAGCACACAGGGCCGCAGCACACAGGGCCGCAGTACACAGGGCCGCAGCACACAGGGCCGCAGTACACTGGGTCACAGTACACAGGGCCGCAGCACACAGGGCCACAGTACACAGGGCCGCAGTACACTGGGTCACAGTACACAGGGCCGCAGTACACAGGGCCGCAGTACACTGGGTCACAATACACAGGGCCGCAGTACACAGGGCCGCAGTACACAGGGCCGCAGTACACAGGGCCGCAGTACACAGGGCCGCAGCACACTGGGTCACAGTACACAGGGCCGCAGTACACAGGGCCGCAGTACACTGGGTCACAATACACAGAGCCGCAGTACACTGGGTCACAATACACAGGGCCGCAGTACACGGGGTCACAGTACACTTGGTCACAGTACACTGGGTCACAGTACACAGGGCCGCAGTACACAGGACCGCAGTACACAGGGCCGCAGTACACTGGGTCACAATACACAGGGCCGCAGTACACAGGGCCGCAGTACACTGGGTCACAGTACACTGGGTCACAGTACACAGGGCCGCAGTACACTGGGTCACAGTACACTGGGTCACAATACACAGGGCCGCAGTACACTGGGTCACAATACACAGGGCCGCAGTACACAGGGCCGCAGCACACTGGGTCACAATACACAGGGCCGCAGTACACAGGGCCGCAGTACACTGGGTCACAATACACAGGGCCGCAGTACACAGGGCCGCAGTACACTGGGTCACAGTACACAGGGCCGCAGTACACAGGGCCGCAGTACACTGGGTCACAATACACAGGGCCGCAGTACACTGGGTCACAATACACAGGGCCGCAGTACACTGGGTCACAATACACAGGGCCGCAGTACACTGGGTCACAATACACAGGGCCGCAGTACACAGGGCCGCAGTACACAGGGCCGCAGTACACAGGGCCGCAGTACACTGGGTCACAGTACACAGGGCCGCAGTACACTGGGTCACAATACACAGGGCCGCAGTACACTGGGTCACAGTACACAGGGCCGCAGTACACTGGGTCACAATACACAGGGCCGCAGTACACTGGGTCACAATACACAGGGCCGCAGTACACTGGGTCACAGTACACTGGGTCACAATACACAGGGCCGCAGTACACAGGGCCGCAGTACACTGGGTCACAGTACACTGGGTCACAGTACACTGGGTCACAGTACACTGGGTCACAATACACAGGGCCGCAGTACACGGGGCCGCAGTACACTGGGTCACAATACACAGGGCCGCAGTACACTGGGTCACAGTACACTGGGTCACAATACACAGGGCCGCAGTACACTGGGTCACAATACACAGGGCCGCAGTACACAGGGCCGCAGTACACAGAGCCGCAGTACACGGGGCCGCAGCACACTGGGTCACAGTACACAGGGCCGCAGTACACAGGGCCGCAGTACACAGGGCCGCAGTACACAGGGCCGCAGTACACTGGGTCACAGTACACTGGGTCACAGTACACTTGGTCACAATACACTGGGTCACAGTACACAGGGTCACAGCACACAGGGCCGCAGTACACTGGGCCACAGTACACTGGGTCACAGTACACTGGGCTACAGCACGCAGGGTCGCAGCACACTAGGTCACAACACACAGGGCCACAGCACACTAGGTCACAGCACGCAGGGTCACAGTACACTGGGTCACAGCACGCAGGGCCACAGCACTCAGGGCCGTAGCGCACTAGGTCACAGCACGCAGGGTCACAGCACACTGGGTCACAGCACGCAGCACACTAGGTCACAGCACGCAGGGCCGCAGCACACTAGGTCACAGCACGCAGGGCCGCAGCACACTGGGTCACAGCACGCAGGGCCGCAGCAGGGGAGGTGAGCCACACAAGAGCTCCGTTACTCATGAGCGGGACACCGTGCACCCTTGACCTCACCGTCTCACTCTTACATTCTTGTCAAGTCACTAGCACGCATAGCGTTTCGGCCAGGTCCTTGATCGTAATTTTTCCCTAGATTACGACCCGCCCAATCGTTTAATATCCAGGTACCTATTCCCTGCTGGGTGAACAGGCCTAAGGCTATAGTTAAGGATTGGTACCCAGTTAATCCTCCCCGGCCAGGATACGAACCCAGGCTAAAGCGCTCGCGGAACGTCGAGCGAGGGATTTACCAGTGCAGTACTCACTGAACGGCGCTGCAAATCCTAGCGTATTATTGGTATTTAAAATATATTGACGTGTGGATAACAGTATGAATAACTTTCTGTTGAATGCAACAAGTATGATTATGACACATTACCTTACAATAGAAAAATCAGAACAGTAAGAGAAACTATTCCGTTGTGCGTCGTTGATCCTCGTTTAGGTTCAAATATAAGTATGACCATTGCCTTTGTAAGCAATAGTCAAGTACATGTTAATCCCTCAAGCCGTCTTGAGACCAAGTCCATTCCATCCAGCGGTCGACCCCACGGACGCACTAATAATTTTTAACATGCTTTTCATTCAAAACATGAATTTTCTTAAATATAAATTAATATTATAATATATTAACATATTGTGCATATATAGGCATAGGTTAGGTTAGGTGTTTAGGTTTAGTTGGCGATTATTTGTATTTGTAGTACGTGGGTGAAATATTTCAACCCGTCCTCGACTCAAGTCGAGGACGACTTGACTTGAGTCGAGGACTTGAGTCTTGAGTCTTGTAATGGACTTGAGTCGAGGACGGGTTGAAATATTTCACCCACGTACTACAAATACAAATAATCGCCAACTAAACCTAAACACCTAACCTAACCTATGCCTATATATGCACAATATGTTAATATATTATAATATTAATTTATATTTAAGAAAATTCATGTTTTGAATGAAAAGCATGTTAAAAATTATCAGTGCGTCCATGGGGTCGACCGCTGGATGGAATGGACTTGGTCTCAAGACGGCTTGGGGGATTAACATGTAATCCAGCGGTCGCCCCCACAGACGCATTCATAAATTTTAACTTGCTGTTCATTCAAAACAAGAATTTTCTCAAATATAAATTAATATTATAAAATATTAGCATATTGTGCATATATAGGCATAGGTTAGGTTAGGTTAGGTTAGGTGTTTAGGTTCGGTTGGCGATTATTTGCATTTGTAGTACGTGGGTGAAGCATTTATAGCGTTGTGGTTCGAACAAAACTCGTCAGTGAAGCACTTGTTCCGGAAGTGTTCGAACGAAATCAGTTGTGAGTCGTGTGTAAACCGCTTTTCATTCATAAACAGCGGGGTTTTGCGGGTGCATTGAATCACTTTTGGATCTTTATTTGGAGGACGGGCTGAATATTTACAGCGTTGTGGTTCGAACAAAAGTCGTCAGTGAAGCACTTGTTCCTGAAGTGTTCAAACGGCAACAGTTGTGAGTCGTGTGTAAACCGTTTTTCATTCATAAACAGGAGGTTTTGCGGGTGCATTGAATCACTTTTGGGTCTTTGTTTGGAGAACGGGCTGGGGGTCGACCGCTGGATGGAATGGACTAGAGTCGAGGACGGGTTGCGTCATCAGTTGGGAGTCGTGTGCAAACCATTTTTTTCATTCATAAACAGAGGGTTTGGCGGGTGGATGGAATGGATTTGGCCTTAGTTTATGAGGACGGGCTGAATCCCCCCAAGGATGCATTCGTGAGTTTTAATATGCTTTTCACTCAAAATAAGAATTTTCTCAAATATAAATAAATATTATTAAGCATTATATTATATTATTAAGCATTATATTATATTATTAAGCATTATATTATATTATTAAGCATTATATTATATTATTAAGCATTATATTATATTATTAAGCATTATATTATATTATTAAGCATTATATTATATTATTAAGCATTAAATATTATTTAAGCATTAGCGTACTAATCATATTTAGACGTAGATTAGGTTCTGTTGGTAATTATTGGTATTTGTAGTACTACATTAATGAAGGATTTAAGAATTGCGATTCGAACAGAGGTCATCAGAGAAGCACTGTTCGAATGCCATCGTGCGTGAGTGGCGCGAGCGAGCAGCCAGCCAGCGCGAGCAGGTTTAGTGGCAACACCGCCGCCTGTAGGTGAGGACTCCAGCTGTAACTTGCAGCAGTCGAGAGCTGCTGTCCTCCAGGGGTGCATCGTGCTCCCATACCACTTATTCTTGGCTGCTCTTACACTAATCGCAGGGTTCCACTTAAATTGTTTTATCGCAAAGAAAAATAATAAGAAGAAAGATATATATGGAAAATAATTAGACAACCCATCCAAAAGCTTAAGAAACAAAGTTTTGTGACTGATCCAGAGTTGTGATGGCAGGAAGATGTGTGATGGTGGTGGTGGTAGTGGTGATGGGAGCCACGTGGGCAACAGAGACACATAACCTGCAGCACACACAGATATTGCACGACGACCAAGAGGCCAGCCACCAACCCCCGGTGTATCCTGCCGACCGCAAACGTATTTTCATCAACAACAAGGCCTACGATATGTCGGAAGAGGAGCAGGCCCGGATGTGGAACCTCCATCTCAAGAAAGCTCATATTCCACATACAGACACCTCGGTTAGAAATACAGACCTGGACTCACCACCGTCCACTATGCAGACAGCCCAGACTTCTGAAGCCAACAACGACGATCAAGCCGTCACTCTACGAACCGCCTGGGGACCACAACCGGATAGAGATGTGAGAACTGGAGACTTAGAGGGTAACAGCCTCACATATTCTCAGCGAAAATCTACACCGCGGTTCGTTGCCAACCCGGATAAAGTACATCTCATTGAGGTGGTTGGTAAGGATGAACTAGAGGAGATGTACAACACAACTGGTCCGGAGGCAGGTGAACGAGACGTAACGGAGTCACCGCTGGAGACCGTCACGGTCCTATATGAAGCCACCAAGGTCTCCGTCCTCTCCTTCATATGGACCGAATTGAAAAACATTGGGGAATTACTGGGGCGGGAGATGGTGGACACACTCACTGCCAGGCTGTCACACCTGTGGAGGTCTGTGGTGAAGTTTGTCCAAGCCCGCGGACGACGCTCCATCACCCACCACTCTTCAGAGTTCTAGTGACCAAACACCTCTTCCTATTTTTAGGTTACTGAGGTGTATGGTCCCGACTCACGTATTGTAAGTAGATATGGAATACTCGTCATAAATTACCAGCTCAACATGATAACATGTCTGTTATCCTACTTAACCTGCTAACCTAGAGGAACCGTTCGTTATTCTCCACAACCTGCTGACCTCAAGGAACCATCCGTTATCCTACATAACCTGCCGATTTCGATGAACCATCTGTTATCCTACGTAACCTGCTGACCTTGAGGAACCATTTGTTATCCTACATGACCTACTGACTTTGAGGAACCGTCCGTTATCCTACACAACCTGCTGTCTTCGAGGAACCGTCTGTTATCCTACATAACCTGCTGACCTCGAGGAACCACCTGTTATCCTACATAACCTGCTGACTTCGAGGAACCATCCGTTATCCTACATAACCTGCTAACTTCGAGGAACCATCCGTTATCCTACATAACCTGCTGACCTCGAGGAACCACCAGTTATCCTACATAACCTGCTGACCTCGAGGAACCATCTGTTATCCTACATAACCTGCTGACCTCGAGGAACCACCTGTTATCCTACATAACCTGCTAACTTCGAGGAACCATCTGTTATCCTACATAACCTGCTGACCTCGAGGAACCACCTGTTATCGGCTCATGATGTTGAATTTTTTCCCGCCTACGAGTGGAGACCCACCCGTTGTCCTGTCTCGGCTACTGATGGAGACCCACCCGTTGTCCTGTCTCGGCTACTGATGGAGACCCAGCCGTTGTCCTGTCTCGGCTACTGATGGAGACCCACCCGTTGTCCTGTCTCTGCTACTGATAGAGACCCACCCGTTGTCCTGTCTCTACCTTAACCTTTGCTTCTTCTCACAAAGTTAGACTTTGTTGGGTAATTAACTAGCTATGGAAACCAAAGAGCCTAGAGTGACAAGCTACTTGTTCCATCGCTGTGGAATTGCATTTCACAGAAGGACTACTTGCTGGAGCTACTGCACCCTAGGCGCACATCCAACCTCTGACCAACTGTAGGAGGTTTTTTTAGTTGTAACTTATGCCATGAATTTCACTTCTCCGTAATATTTAATCCAACTCAACTACATGAATAAATGATGGGTAGAAATACTGATACAAATGTAGATAGATTATTTATATTCACTAATATGATATTTAAAATATCTTTGCATTTAGTGACAAATTTGGTTTATATCAACGCAATAAAGTAATTACTAATTCATGTGTTGTTTGATATACAATTTATTGATTTTCATTCGCTGATAACTTTGTCGGATGACTTAAGAAGTAGGATGTTACAGAAATTTGTGAAAACCATCATAATAAAACAACCCAAATGTCATGAAGCACAAAAGATACACTAATAATCCTTAAAGACTAGCTGGAATATATTGTGTCCTTCAATGGGTATCTTAATACCAACCCGTCCTCGACTCAAGTCCATTACATCTAGCGGTCGCCCCCACAGACGCATTCATAATTTTTTTTTTTTTTTGAGATATATACAAGATTTGTTACATTCATGTACAGCCACTAGTACGCGTAGCGTTTCGGGCAGGTCCCTGGAATACGATCCCTCTCTCTCTCTCTCTCTCTCATTGTTTTAACATGCTGTTCA